CCAATAAACCTTTGAAAACAAGGTGCTGGCCTGACCTCCTCTTGGCAGCTCCCTGTCCACACGTCCATTGCCAAGAACAGAATGAGCAGAGGGAGTGGCACTGCAAGTGTCCCCAAGTGTCCCCCGCTGACAAATGGGGAATAAACACAAAGAGCCACTCTGGGCACAGCTCTCTGCTGAGACTGCCAACGATGGGACCTAAGAGTGGCAACGCTGTGCTCTGAGTCTTGGCTATTATAAAACAAGAACAATTCTGGTAAGATACTGAGAGCCAAAAAACACCAAAGGTCTGAGGTTTGGGGCTGGTTCGTCGTCGTGTATTTAAACTACAGAGCTGAGAAAATATTTGTGCATGTTATTGATGCTTCAAAACACAGCTCAACTATTTTTACCAAGGTACCAAGCTCCCCTCCCACCATTCCTAAAGCCGTTCCAGCAGCTCCACGTTTCTTTCAATGAGTGTACAGACAATAAGACTTAAAGAGGAAACTGCTCATCAGTGTATCAATCCCACCACCTCTCCATCCTACAGCAGCCACTGTAATAAGCTGGCAGAATTTGGCATTTCAGAAGCCCCGGCAGCCCTTCAATGGGACTGAACCATTGCTGGGGTGCTGATCTTAAGGAAAAGGCTTCTTTAAACATTTGCTGTGTGCAAAACGCCTCCCTTTCTGCCTCGTCTTTTGAGACTTCCCTCTGCTGACAAAGGTGCTGGGATGATGGATGTGAACAGGATTTTCTTTGCACAGAGGGTGTGAGGCCATGGCACTGCTGCACAGAGCTGGGGATGCCCATGACTATGGATGGGCCCTGGGCTCTCCCTCCCACGGCAGGGAGAGTGAAACCAGATGATATTTAGGGTCCCTTCAAACCATCCTACAATCCTATGAATATCTTACGCAAGTTTGCTGCCTCCATGCTGTAGGGCAGAAGGGTGAGACCCAACGAGAGATGGAGCTGCCCATGAGCCACAGCGCTGCCACCACCACCAAACCCCACATCCTGTTCTGCTATTTTTGTCGAGCGTTTTGTTGGTTGGCAAAAATTCAGCCATCAGCAATAATTCTGCCAGCACCACCTGCCTAGAGGAGTGCGAAAAGTTAGCAGGAAAGAAAGGAAGCGAGGGCACAAACTGCAATGCAGCAACCAACAGAGCCAGCAGCGTGGAACTCTCCATACAAATCAAAGAACCAAAACCTGGCTGTCCCGCCATCAGTTCAAAATACACAGCTGCAAACGAGGGGAAAAAAAAACCCAAACACCTCAGCTAGGAGATGCAATGATCTTAAGGTTTACGCTGCTTCATTTGTGCTGCACGGTGCAGCAAAGAGAGGCTTTGCAGACCTCCGTGCACAGATGCTGCCTTCCAGCACACTCAGCCTGGCCAAGCACTTTGCTCATGGCTCCAAATGCTCAGGGCTAACCCCCCTGTTTGCCACTACATCTACAGCTTGAAAGGGGTTTCATTTCTTCATTTTGTTACCCTTTGCTGCACAAGTTGTGGTTCAGAAGCGTTGTCAGCAGAGTGGTTCAAGGGCACTCATCCCCAACACTGCTCCACAGCAGCCAAATTCCCATCCAGATTAAATGCTCCATCAGAACACGGGGTGCCACTTCTCTCCTGTAGGGCTGTTCCCACCCAGTTCATCATCCACCATCAGCTTCTCTTTTTTTTTTGTGGCCATTGAAGTTTTTAAATTATTCAAAGGGGAGGCCTACATTTCATACCGCTCCCGTCTGTGATTTTTCACAATCTGATGGAATAATTGCAACCCTCTCTCCATCCCTTCCCAACTTACCCCATCAATTAACGCAGTTCCTCAAGCGACTTTAATAATTCAGCCTCAGCGACAGTCTAATGCATCAAGTAGGAGCAAGAGGCAAAATCCAATCCTAAACTTAAGGAAAACGAGCCAAGCTTTGAGCTGACTTCATCCTGCCCAAAGAACCTCCACCAGGTTAAAAGGCCAGCTCCTCTGCTGACCCACTCCTGCTTTATTACATATATTTTCTAAAGACCTTGCAGGTCACTGTAATCATTCCTCAATCCATACCCCAGCAATCCCTTAGGTTATCATTTTTCTCCTGTTGTCTCCCTTTTTTTGCCTGTTTTCTGTGCAATTCAAGCTGCTGCCCGCCTGCTCCAATACCCAAGCACACGCAAGGCACTGGGATTGCCAAGGCTCTGTTTGCTGCAGCATGTGGCCAAAAATTGCAGCCAAATAACCAACCGGCCAGCAGGTCAGGGAAGAAAGAGACACCTTGTATGATTAAATGTCTTCCTATCAGATAAACAAACAAACAAGTCATTAAAAATAAGTGAATTAAGTAACTCCACAGAGAGAATTCCTGAGAGAAGAACAAACTGCACAGCCTGAGCTGACTGGAGGGAATTATTCCAGCAAAACCTTGTGCAAAATAAACTGCATGGAAGTTGAGAAACCTTCAGAAATGAAGTTTAAAAAAAAAAACAAACCCAAAAAACACCTCTTTGGCTCCTTCAAGGAAGTGCAAAATAAGAAATAAATAAAGAAAAAAAAAGAGAGAGATGGCATTGTGTCCTTAACAGCAGTTTGGGAACCAGAACAAAGCCAGAGAGAGTTTCAAAGCACAGCAGCTCTCCCCACTCTGCTGTTTGTTCTGCTCATAAGCAGACAAGCTGTTTCCTTTCATCTGGAAAAACTCACACAATAAGAAAAATACCTCAATAGAATCTGACTCTGTAATAACAAAGCCCAAGGGGCAGCCAGAAAGAAATCTTCTGGTAGGTAAAAAATATTTGGTGTTCGGATCCTCAGAGAAAGCTGACTGCTTCTGGGTGTAGGGCAGCCGAACATCCCACTGCTGCTGGAGGAGGTCAAGGGATTCATTGAGGCATCTCTCCTTCTCGTCTCTCTTCCCCAGTCCCAGATGAAGGCTGCAACCCTTGTAGGTCAGCACAAAAGCAAGCAGAGGAAGCAGGAGCAAGGAGATAATAGGGAGAAGGAAGCACACGAAAGGCAGCACATAGGGATGAAAGGACTCTCTGTAACACCCTTGAGGAGGGGGAAGAGGAAGAATCACAGGCACAAAAGGAGGGCTCAGCCTAAATTCTGAATCTGGACCTGTGGTAGCGGCGCTGCAGTTCAGAAGAGCCAGCAAAAATCTCTCCCCGAAACACTGTGTTGATAAATATGCCATCTCCTTGTGGAATTCAAATCTCCAACTGTTCAACTGGCATGGACATCTCTGCAGTAACAACACATGCCACAGATTGTGAGTTAACTTGAATTACATTTCAGATCTGGGGAGGGGAGGATGTCAGTGGGAGGTTTATGAACAGTATGCTCCATCTCTGATGTTGTTATAACCAGATGGCTTCAGCTGTATCGCTTACAATTAAAAAAAAACCACCAACAATAAAAAAACCAAACAACAAAAAAGGCAAAGTTGACCAATAAATCATTAATTCACCTGCAACTGGAGGTAAGTTGCATCCTCCACATATCTTCTATCTCAGACCTCCCTTCACAGTGTATTCTTGAAATGCACCTGGCTCTGCAGGAAGGACTGGGACAGAGAACAGATTATTTTCCTGCAGGTATCTCTCCATCCTCCAGAGCAGGCTTCCAAATCTGCACTGCCTGCCCGTAAATACCTCCCTCAAAAAGGCTGAGGGCACACAATGTCAAGGCCCATTTACTTCCTCCCAGGCACGTCTGCTTCTCAGGGAAAGGCTACGCCAGGGACTCTCCTCAAACAGCTGGTCATTCCACCACAACCAGGAGAAAAGGTCTCTTCCAGCAGGTTTGAGTCTTTCAGTAAACAATGCAGTTACTGCGGTGTAATTAGACATCACTGAAGCACACAGATAACTTCTGCAGTTACCTGGCAATGAACTTTTCATGTCTGCATGCAATTATAAGCTAGAAACGCCGGTCTGAGTTCTGACAGGGTAGTGGGGAGCATCTCCTAATGACTAAGTGCTTTGCTTACCTAAAAGGGAATGCATATTGAATCCAATATAAAAGGAATTAGAAGAGTTGAAGGAAAAGATGCAATATGGGAGTTTGTGAACCAAGGAGAAGGAGGGCTTCACTATACAGATGGTTGTGTACGTTTATGATGAAGGTCTCAGTGGGGGACTCAAAAAAGGGCAGGGACCTTCTCATGAGTCACCATCCGACAAAAATAGATGGCAGTTAGATTAAAATGTGGACGTATGAACGGAGCTCTCCTTCTCACAAGGGACAAAAGGCTGTAAGAGAAGTATGACAACAGAATGAAGAGTCAGAGACAACTGGTATCTAATCTGTTTTCTAGACAACACAGAGTTACTCTCTGTAATCCATTACGTGCCCTACCTGACCACCTTAAGGTCAGACCAATTTGCCACTGCCATAACACCACGTATTTCAACCTAACCTCTCTGATATCTGGGATTAATGACGACATAATGGATGGTGTCTTTCCTACCAGGACATCCTGCACTGCTCGTTAATGTCATAAAACAGATGGCTTATTGTACCGCTCCCCCATCCCACATTTAAGTCCAGGTACAAGGTTTGGACTACGAGTTAGCTTCACAGCTGCTATTAAAACCAACCTTGTCTGCTCTGTGTTAACACCCACCATGAGAAATAAAACAGTTTTATATTGCAAATTTGTGTGCAGACTTCCTTACTGAAGTCCCATTTGAGTTCCAGGAGCTGCACTAACGTGGCACAGGACACGGCAGCAGAATGGAAGTGCTTTAGGGAATTGGTTTTAAGCTGATAAGTGTTGAAATTGAAGCCAAAAAAAAAAAGAAACCAACAGATACGACGCAGTACAAAATAGTAATTATTTATATTTTCAAAAAAAAAAAAAAAAAAGTTAACAGCTATTTTGAAACTTCTTCCTTGTAAGAAGAGTGACTAATAGAAAGGAATAGGACTGGCTCCTATACAGTCGGCAAGTCAGGTACAAACAGTTGTTAAGAATCATTTAGCAACTCAGGACAGGGACTTCTGACGCAGCGATCGTGAACAATAAAATTTCTTCTTTTTCTTAAAAAAGAGGGAAGGAGGGAAATAAAGCAGGGAAAAATGCCAAAAAACATTTTCCACAATATCTAAAAACAGTAACCGTTGTTCTTATCAGACAGCACGCTCCAAATCAAGGATATTCTAGTCCTTTCAAAACCAATACAGACTTGCCAAAGGCTGCCTTCAGTCTATTCACATCCTCCAGAACAGTCTCTCAGTCCCCTTTCACTTCAACCTGTCACTTTATAAAAGGTGTTTTTCTTTTTTTTTTTCTTTTTTTTTTTTTTTTGCAATTAACATACAAGTGCTACTAACAGAGAAACTGATCTTCTTGTTGCTGGATGGCAATAAGGAGTTACACAAACGTCCAGTTTTTAGCTCAGCTGGAAGGACTTAAATTCTCTTTTTTGATATAAATACTACTGGAGCTCCCATCAGGTACTTCCTTTCCAGAACCTCACTGGAAATCCTTTTTAACTTCGCAACGCTCTCTCCAAAACTAAAATGTCCTCTTGCTCCAGGCATCTGATGGTTTGTTCTGTGCTGCCAGACGCAGATGTTGTTTTCCCCAGTACCACTGCTGGGTTTATTCTGACACGGATCGGCACCTAAACCGAACCCTGTACTTAATTGACTCAGCCAAGTTGAAGGGAACACACAGACGATGCAGCGACAGGGATTCATTAGGTTGAACAGCCCCAGAGCCCCAGGCCCACCCTCCCCCCTCTCCCCAAGTTACTTGGTGCTGTTTTAAAAAGTCTGGGTGTCACGAAGCAGTCTCTTCCCCCCAACAACAGAGTATAAGCTCCACAGATTTCGCTGTCTACCTGGTGGTCAAGGTTTGAGCAGCAACAGCTGATGCTGCTTCCAGAAAAACACGTGGTGTTGCCAGAGACGGGACTTTAGGATTGCTTCAGTCGCTTACGTGGAGGTCCCAGGAAGGGACACTGTGCAGAGGCCAGAGAGCGATACGCCTCAGCCACCAAGTGAGGGTGTGACACTACCATCGACTTCCAGCCCGATGTCTCCATGACATCAGAAGCATGACTAGAAACAAGAAAATGAAGACGAAGTTACTGACTGGAGACAAAAAGGATAACCATCAGGTGCTGTCCACGTGCTTCAGATACCCAACGTTTTTAGTGTGCTGTTGTAAGAATGTATGCTGGACAGTCCCTCAGCTTGCAAACAGACATGAGCCCCAGAGGATGGCAGTAGGAACACAAAGCTCATCTACTCTGACCCCTCAGCATGCAACAATTTCAAGCAATACAGAAAGTACTGACAGAAATCGTGTTAACTAACACAGAATTAAGATGTTTCTGGACATCAAATCAGATGGCTGTCAGTGACTACCTACTAACAGGTCTGTAGCAGTAGTAGTTGCAATAGTCCTTAAGTATAGAGACTAACTGATCGACTGCTACCTAAGAGCTCTCAGGACCTTAAGAAGAAAGCCAAAATATCTCAGAGGTAGCTCTACTGTACACTGACCAGTTCCAGTAGCACAAGACTTATCAGCCCTTAGGGCAACAGCACCTCTGGAATGCCAGATGAAAGAAAGATCACAATAGGAGAGCTTTAAAAACAAAAACTAAAACTGAAAACGAGGAAAATCTCCTCTGCACATGATTGTTTCTGAGTGCTTGCATGCCAAAACAAGAATAAACTTACTAATTAATGAAGTCCACTGCTTGAGTTTTCAGTTGGTCAGCACTATGTAGGTCAGCCAGAATGAGGATCTCAGCTGCATTTTCCACAGACAGGTTACTGCACAGTGCATCCTCACACATCACCTTCAGACGTTCCAGAGCATACTGCAAAACACAAGCCAAAGTACAATTACAACAACAACAACCTATTCAGCTTGAAGTTCTACTTGTGCTCCTTTATTCTTCAGTAACAAACTACTCTACAATGCTAAACAGACTTTATTCTATGGAGCTGAACTGTACTCAAAGTAGTGATCAGCAAAAAGGGAGCAGCAGTATGTGCCCACCCTGAGGAAAGCAATGGGGAAGAAGCATACCCACCATCACTCTCATCCCAGGCTTCTTGTGTTACAGGTTTGCTGGTGCTGTGTTCATGCTTTGAAATGACTAAAGGTGATCTGAAATGCTGCCTCAGTGATTTCAAAGTACAAAATGCTAAAGCCAAATCTCATCCTCATTACTGCATGGCAGTTATTCTCCAGATTCAGTGGGGACCCAATACTGAATAGGTGTTCCGGTGATGTTTAGACAGCTTTCCTTCAGTTCCTTTGCCATTAACGTTTTGCAATTTATGACAACCTTGCTCAAATATGCTCCTAGTTTAATACTAAAATGCTACACAAATGCCCCTGATTTCTTGTGGCTATCCATCTGGAAACAAAACATCTCAGCCTGTCTGTAAAGTCATAGCAAAAGCCTTACTCTAACTTCACATTCTCACCTGAAGCATTTATGCCATTCAGTGGCACATTTACCTCAACTTCTCTTTTTCTTCCAGATCCACAGCTTTGGATTGGATCAATTATTCGAGAAATGCAAAGGAATTCAAAGGATTTGCTTAGAACAAGAGAACCCTCTAATAAATTCCACGCTACTTTCTGCAGCACTTTAGTCAGTACTGGAAGCAGCAGACACACCAACATTTTCAAGAAGGTCTATAGTCAGAAAAGCATAAGCCTCTTGTCAAGAAACAAAGGCCAAACTCCAAACCTCAGCCTGTTAAAATATGATAGGCTGTGGGCACTAAGAGACTGAGATACTTCTGAAGATCTTGGTATGTGTGATGTGATTATGGAGCAATTTGGATAAAACACAGTCAGGAACAGCCTCGATCCCGTGACATTTTTTAGTTGAGAGAGAAAAGCATTTGGGAGCAGCCTTCAAATTGTCTGTAAGGCTTTTCTGGAGAACTTCAAGATGGCTTGGTACACAAATGCACGTTCTTCACTTTGTGTTGCCACAGTCCAAAAAGATACCAGATTTGTAAGGACTGATCTGCCAACCCAAACAGAGAGTTGGTAACCAGCTCCTCTGCATGGCGACTGGAGCGCCTGCCATATGATAAGCACTACTACATGATAAATTAATTTTATATTCTTATTGAGATCTTCATTCTGTTACGATTAAATTTAAATGAATAATTTTAAATCATAAAAACATCTTTCACTTAAGGCTCAGCAACAATAATTATTATGATGTCAGTTGAGGCATGGCACTCATAACCAGGACAGTTTTCTCCCATCAGAACATCTGAGAAGGCGAATCAAATTTACTTCATCTGTATCAATAACTAAAACGATTGCAAAGAAGGGGCAAACCATTATGTTACTGTTTGTCAGTAGCTTAAAATGCAGTAAACAAAGCTTAAACTATTCCCTTTGTAAACTGAGTATTCTCTTCTATGCATGTACAATTTTTATTTTGATTTTCACTACAAATACCCCAACTTCTAATTACGTGTTTGGGCAAAAGTAGCCATGCTGGTCTCTCAGGTATCCAGATTTCCCCCTCCCCATCTTTCTTAATTACACTAAAGAAAAAAAAAAAAAGAGGAAAAAAAAAAGCCCTACCTAATAACATTCCTACTCCAGAGGCTGAAATAGTATCTCCTGGGTTCAGAAGACGTGTTTTGTTTTGGTTTTGGTCTAATTACTTATTTTCCCCAAGAGGTAGGAGGAACTCAGAAGAAGCCGTTTCAGTCTCTTGAGTAAATATTAGATGCCTTATGTGCTTTCTTGAAAGATTTTTTTATTTCTGCTTTTAAGAGACGCACAATGAGTTTAAAAGAAAGAAAGTCTACATTAAAAGCCAAGAAATTCAAAGTTAAAGCCTACTCTGGCCTTAATGTACTGCTCCTTGCTTACACTTGTCTCAGTTAAAGATGGTATGCGATCTCTCCATCAATACTCTTTAAATATTGAATAAAATATGTGGCAATTATCATAATCAAGCCAAGAATCTGCCTGCATCATTTCCCATTTTAACTCCAGTTGCAGTGGCCTCCTAACAGCACACGGAGCATTTCACCTTTAAATCAACATTCCTGATGAAGCCCAGGTCCACAGCGACAGGGAACCTAACGGCTGTGCAGCGGTTTGAGTGGAACAAGGCTACATGCATCCACATCCTAAAATCCACCACCCTATCTGGAACCCACAAAAGAATCCAAGGACTGAAGAAGCACGGAGACTGAACTACGCTCTCACCCCCAGAGGTGGTCCCTCCAGGTCAGTGTTGAGGCACAGTGGCAGGGCAGTGTGGAGGATCTTGCACTGCTGCTACCCGTGCTGAACCTGTTCCATGGATAAATTCAGGACTTAGTCTCCAGTGCTGTCAAACTGGCATCTTTCACCAGCACTAAGTTCACTTTTAAGAGAGAGAAAAACAAAAAAAAAAAAAAAAAAAAAAGAAAAAAAAAAGGAAATAAAATTTTGGTTATATATTACGAATTTTCACTGGTTAATACGGCTCACTGGCCAGCAAAGCACTCTCTTCCATCCTTGGTGCTGCAAAGGGAAGGAGGCAGAGACTGGAGGGCTGCAAGGCACTGTGCCTGCTGCATAGGAACAACCAGCAGCTTCAATCAGAGCATCCCTGGAACATCCCCTGGCAAGGAGCCTGCAAAACCACTACAGATTAGGCAACAGGGCTTCCTCCAGTGCACTCCTTGTCTCCACAACCAGGAAGGACTGCCACTGCAAAAAAGAAAAAATAAACAGGACCTTCCCACTTATCCATCACTTCAGAGCATCTCTTGAAGCTGCTGCTAACAACCAGACCAGAAGCAGCAGCAGGCCCTGTTTGCCAAGACACAACACCACTTCTGAGATTTGGTAACAAACATGTTAAAAAAAAAAAATAAAAATAAAAATTATTTTTTAAAAATTGAATTTTTCTTCTCGCTCCCAGCTTTTATAGATTACATTGAATAGCAATGCTTTCTGCAATTTTAGAAAAAGGTCTTAAAAACGAGCAATAGAAACTGATATTCCTGGTCAATGTATCTGGTGATATGCAGCTATACATCTAAGTACCTTAAGTGTATCTACACCACGTTCAGGTTTACTTACAAGCCACAACCAGCTGATATTACGATTCAAAGAAACTGCCCAACCTCAATGATTACATGAAAAGCTTACTACAGGAATCGGAGAGCTCTGAGTAGAGCAAGGCACACATTGCTTGTTCTCTGAACAGCCAGAAATCCCAACTGTACCTTGTCAGCAGCTGCCAGCAAGTCATCAGCCATTTTGTCAAGATTTGGTGCCTTCCCCGTGTAAATAAAGCACATCATTTCCTTAAAAACTTCAGGTTCCACATCATTGATTTCAACCCGATTCTGTATTGGAAAAACGCAGCTTGTTAAAATTCTGACAAGATGTTAAAGGTTCTACCCAAGGTCTTTTAGTATTTGGAGATTTGCTACAAACTATTCAGAACATGACTTAATTTAAAACAAACAAACAGAAATTGATGGAATAAGAAAAACTCTGAGTAGAGTTGTGGATCATCTACTTCTCCCTGTCCCACCCTAAACTCTTTCCCCAGAGTAACAAAGGTGACAATTGCCTCCTTGATCCCTTCCTTCTCCCTTCAGAACAGCTGAAGCAAAGTACTGCATCTAATGTGAGAAAGAATTAAGGAGGTGACAGTAATCACAAATGCCACCTAAGAAACTTGACTGACTGACCAGAGATGTTAAGAGTTGACAAAGTTCTTCCTCCTTCAGGAACTTACCTTTTTGCTCTCTTCCATCTCATGCTCAAACATGGCACTGAAAACCGGGGAACGTGCTACAGCAGGGGGGCAAAGAGAACAGTTAGAGACAAGCCTTTTGCTCTTCAGGAGGAGATGAGCACAGCCTGCCAACACCTCAACAACCGTCCTGCTATTTAATGCAGAAAAAAATCCCACAGCAGATAGAGCAAGCTGAGCATGGCTGGTGAAGCATACAGATTGTGACATGGTGTCATGTGGTCAGTGCAGCTTCGTGCTCTGAGAATGGGCATGCAGGGATGTCACGAGGCCCTTCAAAAAAGGCCAAAAGAGCATACAGGCATTGAGACATCTTTCTTGATTTGGTAAGAAAATACTCTGATAATTCAGTAGCTTCTCCTTACAAATGCTTTAGGGATACATTACAGTAGACTACAGACACAAAGGACACCTCCTACCGTCCTCTTTGTGTGGAGAAAGCAGGCAATTAAAAAGCAGCAGATATATCTTCCTGCAGCACTTCACCAAACAGTCTTTTACTATAGCTCTGCACTTAAAAGAGCTGCAGAACCCTCCTTTAAAGGAGCAATACAAAAACCACCTCAATATCACGGTATTTCACTTGCTATTGTTATTATTCCCCATTCTGCTGAGGCCCATCCAACACAATACTGACCTGCTAGGATGGCTTTATGAGCCTGGAACTCCTGGCCTGCAACACACAGGCAGCAATCTGTGAAGCGGGAGTTCTCCCAGAGTCCTCCCAGCTCATCTGCCAGGCGGCACTCCGGCACCTTCACCATGTTCATAGTGTTCTGGCCAGAGATATTTACAGAGTCCTGTACCACACTCACCTGCAGGGTAATAAACAAATTACTCAAACTCCACGCTGGAAAAGCAATTTCCTTTCAGGAATTTTTAAACTGTGTGCATAAATTGATGGCACTTTCATGCAGGTTCACGACAGTTTTATTATGTGGTCTCCTAGGGAAGTAGAATCTTCTTCTGTTCTTACAGGCATCATTCCTGACCTATTTTTTTTTTTCCTTCTATCAACAGTCTGAAACCCTCCCAAATCAATAATGCAGCACAGAGAGCAGTACAAATGAAAATGAAACGTACACAGCAACCACTGCATCCATACATGCATGCAAGAGCAGTGTCTGATCAGTGCAGGACATTCTGAGCACCCCAAATGCTTTCCTGCTTCTGGTTCAGCAGTAGAATTCCAATTTCTTGAGTGCAATGCTTCCAGTGCATTGAAAAAGAAGAAAAAAAACTGAATTAAGAAAGCAACTTCATGTCAAATAAGTAGGAGATTTTGGAGAAGGCTGGTAAGATTCCTGACCACCTGCTCTAAACTAGACATGGCCAGGCAGAGACCATATGCAGCCAAACCAGCTGACGAATAACCTACGCAAAGGGAACAGCTAAGAGTCTATTCAGCAGCAAACCATTATTGTTAAACATGCAGTAAATCATACGCCTTCTGCAGCAGACTCAAATTAGAAGAGATCAGAATGACTAATACTACCCTGCTATAACAAAGAGTAAAGGAACAAGCTGATTGACAAGGAAGCATATGGGAAACCATTTGCTGGATTTGCTGTCAGGTTCAGGTTGAATTTCAGTTCTATTAATAACAATGGCCAGAGGAGAACAATGGGCAGCATAGGAAGCTTCCCAGTTAAGCAAAAGGAGAAGTAAATTATGAAGGGAGAGAGATGACAGAAACACCTTATTAGGGAAGAACTGCTGACAGCACACAGCCCAGCTCTTAGGGAAACCCCCAGTGGGTTCCTGAGGGTGGGCACTCTTGGGCATTCCCCTCAATCTTGTACAAACTATCTGACACCCAAGAACGAACAAATGCCAGCTGCTGCTTGCCAAAGGGCACTGCCAATGATCAGCCACAGCAGTTGAGAGAAAGGTAATGTTCTCTGTCATTAATTGGACTGCTGTAACATTTTTCTGCCCTGTAACTTCTAGTAACAGACTCAAGGACAGCAGAATCGATTCAGATTCATTAAAAAGCATTTCTAAGATGCGGATCCCTCAGAGTCCGACCCTGACCACAGACCCACCAAAAAGACCTGCAAACTACCTCAAATCAACAAGTAAATCATCTTCACGTATGAAACAAAGTCCGTTACCAGCATTAAAAAAATTACCATGTGGCTTTTCACAGGAGTTTAGACTGGTAGACCTGAAGCACTGACCAGACTCAGGTGCCAAAGCAGCTAGTTTTGCTTAAGCTATTTTCAACGACTTAGCAAGGGAATTCCCAGCTGCTCAGAGGAGGATTACTGCTGTAACTCTGGGAACTCTGTTCTTTTTTAGGTTCATCAGATCTCGTTCACCTATAATGCTGGAATATAACTTAAAACAGCAAATAAGTCACGCAGATGGGATATGAGCAAATCAACCCCATCTGCAGAACAGAGGTGGAAGGATCTCCAAACTGTAAGCAAATGAGGTCAGACTAAAAATGATTGACAATGATCAGCATTCTGTTGTAACAGCATCTTCAGCAACACATCATGTGAGTTCAGAGCTGCCCTGCGCAGAGTGCAGAAGGCTCCTTCCTTTAAAGTCTTGTAAAGCAAAGAGAGAAGGCGTAGCAGAGTTGCTCAGCAACCTTTTGGTCCATAGAAAACCCCAATATATCTCCAAATAACAAGTGTCTCATCAAGTGCTGCTAACAAAACATGCTTGTTGGAGGTACAGATGTAGCAGCACCACTTGGCACCTGCGGCCAGAAGAGAAGTGTTAGGAGAACATATGGTACACTAGTTTACATCCTAAGAGACTTAAAAAACAAAAATAAGCTGTTGAAAGTTCTCTCCAAACTGTTTCCAAACAGCATGGCTTTCCCCTCTAATATCACTATATAAACTTAAGACTTTTTATATATACTAAGCTACAGAACAAACCGAAATAGAAAAACAGAAGATATCCAGATCCAGGTCAGGCAAAGCAAGCAGTGGGTTTGTTCTGGATGAGGAACAAACAAAAATGCTGAGCTGAAGCATTTGAAGGGAGTAATTCAATGGAAAGAGGACTTGACATGGTTCTGGCTGCCAGCACGGCTGGTGGATTTCCCTTCTCCAGCATTAATTCTTGAGTTACCACCACAGTTTTGAGGTCTGTGGCTCATTTATCATGAAAGAAAGGCTAACTGCCAAACCTAAGGAGGTGTCACCCAAGACACTGCTCTCCTCTTCCCCCACATTGCTGTCAGTGTTAAGGAAGAGCTTCCTCCTTGACAGTAATGGTTTACAATGACTGAATGAATACAAATCCATCAGGAGGTGTTTGCTAAATTAGGTATGGGTACATTTATGATGGCCAGGCAAAGCTACAAAACAAGCAAAACAAAACCAAACAACATAACCAAATGGCTGTCGAATGGTTTGGACTGAAGCATTCCCTGCAACCCTGGAAGAAAACATAGCAAAAGAAAAGACTCTACTCCCACAAAACACCCTGCAGGAGATCTGAAGACAGGACAGCTTTTTCTACCTGTGCCCTGGCGAGAATCACAGCTACAGGAGGGATCTTGCAGTTAAAAAGACGAGAGAAACAGACACCAAAAGCTCAGGAGACACTAAATTAGGAAGTTTAGGTTTCCCCATGAAGGCTTCTGAACACAGATATCTATCTTTAGAAATAACTGCACCCTCATCTGCAAATAGCAAAGTCTGAGTGTTTTGTAGAAAAATTATAGGAAAAAACAACAAACAAGAGCTGTGGTGACTGTGGAATTCCTTTAGCTTAGCTTTTTGTTTCTGTAAGATATACAGACACAGGAAAATAAAGAAAACTTGTCCTTTTTAGTCAGAGGACAACTACCAGGCATGACAATTTCCACTATACAGCTTGCACTGGTTATTAACCTAAGTGAATCTTAAATTAGGGATGGTTATTATTATTAAATCAGTCGGGAAGTAATAATCAAATGTGCTTAATTTCTACTATCACCACAGGTAAAAGACGTATAAAGTAGCAAAAAACAAATGAAAGTAAAATGCAATGATTCACTCACAGAAAGAGCCACCCCAGACAGAGGCACACACACAAGCAGACACAAAATCTAAGTGTTAAATAAACAGCCACTGCTCCTCCTGACTCCACTGACGCCTTAAAAGCAATGATGAAAAATAAGGTCACATCTACCTGAAGCTAATGGAACTGCTATTCTTTCAGCCGCAGAGGAAGGCTTACCTCACAGAATAGAGTGAGTTTGTCATCAGGAAGAAGTCCATTGGCTTCATCTAGAAGAAAGTCTCTCCTGATAAATTTTTTGAATCCCCAGTCCTTGCCTTGCACAAATCGATACGCTCGCTGGCTCTCTGAAAGAAAGACACAGTGCTTCAAACAGCAGCTCAACGACTTGCTTGATCAAACAGCAAAAGACAAACAAACCGACCCCTGCAGACACAAAGTGTTTTTACACACCCATTGCTTTTGTTTCTTCTCCTTTAGCATTCAGGATGGAGAATTTGAACTTTGCTCGAACTTCACTTTTTGGACAGCTCACCAACAACAAATAGAGGGATAGATAATCTTTACTCTCCTCGTCCAAGCCTTTAGGGTTCACACGTAAACACCTGCAGAAGAAGAGAGCTGAATGAGAGCAGGACCAGCTTTTGGCAGGTCATCCACAGCTTTTGAAGGAGGTGGAATTTTCATGATAAAATGTACAGTCCTGATTACCAACCATTGAACCACAAGGAAATAACAGACAGCTAAACGGAGTGGAACTGTGCTTCACAGGCAGCCTCAGGCTACATCTTCCAAGACAGATATCAATACCCTAGTAATAGTATGGGTAAATCATTTAAAAACAAACAAACACAGGGCTTGGGAAGAGTGGAGGTATACATGGGATGCAATTTCACACACCAAAAAGCACTGTGCATGACGACTTCCACAGAAAAATAGCAGAATAGAAGCTAAAGATTCAGAGAAGTGCAAAATTTCCAAGAATTGACTGTTAAAATCACAGAGGAAGCAACTCAGAGGAAACACCTGATTTCTAGAGGGCTGAAAGCTTCCCAAAAACAAAGCTAGGGAAAAAAAACCAAACAAATTACTCCTTGGTTAAGAAAAGATAGTAAATGCATGAAAAGGCCACTCATAAGCAGTTCTGTGATCTGAAACTAGACAGAATGTAACAAGCAGGGAGAAAAAGAAAAGAACAGGCCAAACAACCAGCAGCTCAAACACAGTGACCAAAAAAAGTAAATAAATCAGAAAGACCAAGGGATGAGAAGGAGATCTGACTTGCAAAGGTTGGAAAATGAAGTAATTTAATAACAAAAAGCAGTCTGAGGAAAGCACAGGTCTGCCACCCAAAGGAAGGGAACACAAATCATATCTCGCACACACACAGCCCTAAATTAAATAAGGCAGTGGAAAGCTTGCTGCTATCTAGACTAAGGAAATTTAAATAAAAATGCTGAAACACTTCCAGGGGGAAAACAGGAAGGGTTTAAAAGGGTAAAAATGTTGTCTTTAAAAAAAGCAGAAACTCTTGGGCAAATGGAAATAGAGAATACAGAGATGATAGAAGGAACTATTGTAGGGCTCTGAATATATAAAAAGCTGCTGAGAAAGTAACAGTAGAAATAGCCTGAAACTGCAGGAAAGAGAATTTAAGAGTGCATGTGAAAATCAGCTTTTTAGCAGCATGGCGAGGGAGGCTGAAACTGGGAGGCTGAAATAGAGCTTTACAGCCCTGGCTGTAGATTCTCACTGGCTTCCAAGAGCTTGCCAAGATGAACATCAGTCATTTAAGACAGAAAATAATTTATAACAGATTATTAATCTTCCATGCTTTGCCTCTGCATCAAGGCAGGATGCAGTCTCCCTTCTAGCTGCAGCATCTACAACTTCTGATGTTTTCCATTACGTGAAGCACATTTCTAATGGTCAGATCCTCACATTTGTTCTGTGTCCAAACACTGTGCTGAAGCAACAACACTCTCTGTATGTTGTGCATCCAAGGAAGCCAGAAATTGCATGCAGCACAAGGCTTTTTTTTAATTATTATTATTATTATTATTTTTTTAAACATACTTCTTTGTTATAGAGCCCCAAACTCTTCCACACCGTTGTACAAACACAGCCACCCTCACTTCTGTATTCCTTACCATTTGAGTTTATCATTGGCTCCAGATGAAAAAGTTGAGCTTTTGATCACCTCACCCATCTCCTCTCGGCAGAAGCTGAAGTTGTTTATGGTCCACATGTAGGAAAACTTCACCACTTTAATCTTAAAACCGAGAATAAGAGGTGGGTTAGGACCATTCACTTTCACACTGCTCATAGAAGACAAAAGGTCTTAAAAGACAAAAACTGAAATCCTGGACGTCGCACAGAACCACCTGTGTTACAAGTAACCTCCAGATACGAAGGAAGAGTCTGGCAATAGCTAGCAGCAGTAGCTGCACCACCAGAACTCCTCCTGACACGTCCACCCTCCAACACGGGTGCCACAGAACAATGATTCTCATTGCCATGGTGAATGGCAACACGCAGCGTTACCAAATTCCACGTTCTCTGAAACCCCAGGACCCTCTGTTTGTTCTGAACCAACCTCTTGCTGCAGATTCTAAGTGAGCACAGCCCAGTCTCACCTGAGTGTAGCACCAGCTTTCTGCCACGGGTCCACTCGACATTTCTGCCGGAGGAGGAGGACTTGGCACCCTTGACATCGCCAGTTTGAAGATTAAACAGAACGTCACAACTCAGGGGAAGAAAGTTATGCTAGATCTTCACACTGGGAGAAGAAGAAAGGAGAACAACAACAACAACAAAAAAATGAAGCCAAAACTAATAACAAAGAAAAAAAACGTCCCGACCGCTGCTAAAACTCACTGCATGCAAGTTAAAGCAATCATGATTCTCACCTTGTTTCTCTCTCCCCACACCTTCAAGATAGGTTGTATTATACACCAAAACATTAGGAGTGCTCCCATATGTTTCCTGAGGTGGCAATATACCACCACCACTTATTTTTTCAATATGCCAGCTCTTCATAGGAATAAACCCAGCCTATCATTTCCTCCAAGGAGTCCAAAACCAGGAGACCACTGACTTCATTTGGGATTTACTGCTTACCCTGAGGCTACGACTTGAATTCCATACTCACTCCTCACTTTCATGTCAAGTCTCACACCAGCAGACCAGACCTCTCTTAAGAAAGGCTCCCCTCGGTCTGCACTTCAGTTGGGAGTCATTTACTTGGGTTTTGAGTTATGCTGACCTGCAGAAAGTATGTGACAACGCTGGCACACAGGTATGATCTAATCTGTAATATAAAAATGAGTGATTTGGTTTTTTCCCCCCTATTCCTCAGGTTTAATTTCCTTTAAAAAAACCACAAATGAGTTCATGTAACCGCTGAAAGAGAGATACTGACTTTCAGTTGCTTAGAAATACACATTTAACCCTGCAGAGCTGCCTATTTAATCAATGAAAATGCATCTCCCAGAACAAAACTTGAGGCCTAACAACTGCCACAGACCTGAACCCCTGGCACTGCTGTCAAACCACCTCTGCTTCATCAACTTTTTGCACTTGCAGTTTGTGCTGTGGATATGCAATGAGGAAAAGGCTTAAACAAAACAACATTCTAAGAAGGCAATGTCGGTATCCACCTTAGGCACTTGCTGCAGGTTTTATTACATTAAACTTAAAATTACCTCCAAAGAAATTCAATTAAACCACTGTGCCGTTCAAACTAAGCCCAAATTAGCAGATTCTAGATGTGAATACGTGGCTGAACTGCCTTTCCACTCGCAATGTCTCCAAAGGCATTTCTCTTTCACCATCTCCAGCCACGGGATTTGGGGATGGACAGAACCTGGAACTGCAGCACAAGCAGCAGACAAGGCACCGTGTGCTCCTCATGGCTGGGGAGAAACACCTTCCTGTTGGTTTTAGCTGACAGGCAGGAGAGACCCAAGATCCTTCCTTCCCCTCTGGGTTCACAGAAGCACTCAACTCCACACTCAGGCTGTTTTACTGCTCTGTTCGTGTCAACCTACATTACTGTGCCCATCCGTTACACTGCACAGGTTTCCCAGTCACACAGGCACAAACAACAGGGACAAAACACAACCACCAGAGGAGAACAGCAACCGGGGAAAGCATGAAGTGTCCTAAGCTCACTGAGTGCAACCTGTCTGCACACAGAGCAATGAGATGCTAAGCCTAAAAGAAAGGCTTGACAAGAAGAAAGACAGCTCAGTAACGGAATATGATGTTTTTTCCTTTATTTCCTAGTACTACGGTTGCTGCCTGACACACCTAGCCAAAATTGAAGCTCCAAACCTGCTTGGTTCTCTCTCCTTGCAGGGATTCAGGCACAGCTGATCACTACAGGATACCTTCCAAGAGTTGAAAGTCATCAGCCACGACTGCATGGCAACACCAGGCTTCTGTTGTGCAGCGATGTCACAAAGCTGCTCACCTGCACTGGTGTCAGAGAGATGATGAGCCTGGTTTACTTCCACATCAGAGACCTACCAACATCAGGCAGGTTTCTGCAGGAAAACTTTGGCTTCCCAGTGCACTGAATCAATCAAGTAACAAAATTAACACTGAAGGTGATCACAGAGCCCCGCTGGAGTCTTTTGGCTTTCTCAAACACACTAAATTTAGTGGTAACATCTCACTTCTGGCACAAAATCAGGGATTTATGAGGAGACATTTGCTCCTATGCTGTCATGGCACATTGACCACGGCTGCTGAGATGCCAAGGACTTTCCTGGATGCACACATAACCCTGCACCCCCTCAATGCGCAAGGAGCAAACTCCCTAAGACCACAGCCATCAGTCACATAATGGGAAATCAAGAGGTTTTGAAACTTCCTGAAGAAAAAAAAAAATCAAAAGTTTTACAGATACTTTCTGCATTTCCACTGGGTTTTAAGACGTCTCAAAGGATCACCTGCACCTCACTTCAGGACAGAAGTTTTAGAAAGCTGTGCTCTAAAGGCTGGACAAGTGCACGAGCTTAAGACACACAAGACTATTTAATTTCCTATGAGTAACTGTCACTTCTATCTCTGATGTCCTTTCCTCCCAGATGGTTTGGACAGGCAGGTGGTAATAAAAGTTGTGACAGCGTGCTAATAGAATTGCTGCATGCCAGCACGTCATTCGTTACCCCTTTAGAAAGGCCCAGAGGAGACACAGGGTCCAGATTTTAGAGATTTCCTATTATTTGGAAAATACTTCCAGCACAGTGTGTCAAAGCTTTCTGCAGACCTTCGGGGAGGCAATTTAATACAGATGAGGAAGAAAAAAAAAGTTAAACCAGAACGTATCCCCAGCTCAAACCATAATAAAATAAATGCAATCTCCTTTTCTTTTCCTGTAAAAATGGCAAGGAAAGATTTGCCACTTGCTTTGCTTACCAAGCACACACGCAGGTTCACTGAACAGCCTCAGAAACGTCTGTGTGCCACTCCACCCTCAAACACTGACGAGCTCTTCTGGTATGGACCAATATTAAACACATTTTAAAAAGGAACAACAGCTGACTTAATGCACTCCATGCATGCAGTTTCTGAAAGCAGCAGGCTCCCCCGGTGTTTATTTGCTCATGAGCACTTAATGCCTCACCAGCTCACACGCCTGGAGTAACAGCCTGGCACCTCTGAAGCAGGAGCAGATCAGAAAGCGGCGCAGGCAGAGGTTTTAAGAGGACATTTTGTAAACAGTATGGATATCAGAATTCCTTATGGCCAGGAAAGGCAGGACAGACTCAAAGGGATAAATATCAAGTCAGGAAACAAAGAACAAAGTGTTATCTTATGGATCCTCAGTAGGCCAGGTACAGCCTGCAAGCCTCTTACTTTCTGGGACACCATCACAAACAGCACTTGTTTTTGGCATGCAATTATTGCATTACTGTTATTTTTAAAATGAGAAAGAGTAAATTCTCACCTCATCTGCAACCACTTCCAGATGAAGAAATTTCCTCTCAGAATGAGAGCCACACCAGGCCCTTCTCAAGCACAGGAAATGTCCCATTGCCACTCTGTCCTACTAATTACCTCCTGACTTAGCAGCCATACCCAGACATCTCAGTTCACAACTCCATCCACTGTAGGGACCAGCAGTCAAAGCAGCAGCAGAGATTTGACCCAATAGAGCTGAGGATTATCAGCTCAACCAGTAACTCCAGACCAGGTCTCAAAATGACTCAATTTTGCCAAAGATTAATTTCTTCTCAGATAAGTTAATTACCTTTTTAAGGAACCAGTAGCTTACAATAGAAAATTTCAAATAGATTCCTTCCCTGAGAGCATTATTCAGTGAGTGTCTGTAAAACAAATGTCCTTCAATTAACTGCTTCAAAAATGGCTGTTTGCTTAACAGATAAACAACATTATCAATGACTACCCAAGAACAGAGCCAAACTGCCCAAAAGCAGCAGGACATGCAGAGAAAAGGAGTGAGACAAAGATAACAGAAGCAGTAAAACAAGTGGGATGAGAAATGGAAGCACAGGAAAAGACCATTATCTTCCTGCATTCTTCACAGCCTTGGAAAGGACAACGGGAGGATTCAATCTGCTGCCATAGAGGAGGAAAAAAGGCAAGTTCACAGAAGGAGCAAGGTGGTGTGCAATGCCATCTAAGCGGTGGATGGGAGAGTTTTCACATTTTAATGTGTTTGCTAAAGAGGATGCACTTTTCCTGCTTGGAATATCAGAGAGGGAAGCAACGATGGGCTCAGCAAAGCACTCCCAGTCTGCACTAATGGCTGCCAAGCAGCACTGATTACAGCCAGCACAGATCACAGCCATCACATCACACCCCACTGCAGCAGGAAACCTCGTTGTGCTCCAAAGGCAGGCTGAAGTCGGGCCCAGGGGAACACAGAGCTTGCCCAGTGGTGGTAGAGGACACTGCTCCTTAAGTGCCATCAACTCAGTGACACACGGAGCTTTGTGTCAAATACAGTTAGAAAATAACACAGGAAAAAATCTCCATCGCAGCAGAGAAGTGGGAAGGAATAGACTGGCATTCAATGGAATATGCTTAACAGGCTGAGAAGCCCATAAGGTCTCTTTGGGATGCAGAACACATAGATAACCTGGTCTGCTGGAACACAGAACAGGAGAACTCTCCCAGAGCTGAACGTCTGTGCTTTTCTCTTCAAGCCACTGTTTTTCAGTCCCAATCCTGCCTGCAAGCTGCCCCCATCGTCAGCAGCATTCAGGAACTTGGATGGGCATCTAAACTGAAAAATACAGCCTTCCATTTCACTGCTATTACACCAAAGTTATTATTGCACCCCAGTTCACGAGGTCACAACAAGGCCCTCTGGACACTGCATGAGAAGATGACTTTGATGCAGACAGACACAAACCTCCATCCAGTTTATTCCAGATAATTCATTGCAAGTCAGTTATCTTAAAAAACACATACAAAAAAAGCCAAAAGAAAACCCCTATTTCCTACACAATTAATAGTTATAACACAGCAGAACTCAGTCACTAAAATTCCACTTCAAAAGATTCCAAAAATAAGGGATTTTTCCCATTCTTGGAACGTTCATCTCTTTTTTCCCCTTAAATTCATTCTTCTGTTACAAAGCAGGAAGAAAAAAAAAGGAAAAAAGTTGGTTCATCTATAGAAGCCATCATTTGTATGAAACTATTAGAGGATGGGAAAGGAAAGAGGAAATGAAACAGGGAGCACTGCCAGCAAAACGTCAGCATTGTAAGGAGAATCCCAAGTTTTACATATATTTCACAAAAC